AATTGATTAACATAGTTAATTACAATGCCTAATATATTTGAGGGGGGAGCTGGAATTCAGGTTGGAAGTAGTCTGCAGCAGCTGGGTTCTATAGAGGTTTGTTTGCTGACTCTGGTGAGGATTAAAGTGGCATGTTGACTCACCAATAGGTGTGAGTTTATTTGATTCAACCTCCTATTTAAAAAGGCATTTAGGCCCTCTGGCCTGGTTTTAATTGTTTTTGGTCAAACATTCTAAGTGTTATAGTGCTGATCTGTCCGTTTGCTGTACAGAGGTACCTCATGGTTGCTGTGATGCTAAACACTGTGACACTCATATGTCAGATGCAATATTGGTTACCATGGTGGACAGTGTTTGGTGGAGCTCCCCGATTAAAACAAGCTTGGAAGCAGGAGTGGCATCCACTTCCGAAATAGCTTGCCTATGGAAACTCTATGAACATGGAGAAATGATGAAAGTCATCTACAACTTGATGGCACTTAACAATAACAATATATTGTATATTTCTTTTGACTCAGCTTACCAATTTTTTTCATTTCACTCCCCTCTTAACTCTTTTTTGAAACAAGATATTTATAAAAACTTGTCACTTGACAAAGCGCATGCTCTTCCTGAAGCCATCCACTAAAGTGCTCTTAATAGGTGTACTAATTTTCATCTGGCTTTACTCCTTGGTTAGCTTGGTCTTACTTGCTGCAGTTCAGAATGTTGACAAGTTTCATAATTATTAATATTGCCAGAAATTTATGTTTACAATAATAAAAATGCCTTTATATACTTCAACCTGCATAATTTCAAAATGTAAAGCGCAAAACATGTAATAGGGAGAAATTACAATATTTCAGTTTCTTATCTAATGAGAGTGAATATTCAGATACAAAGCAAAGCAGCATTCCTTGCTCCAGTTAGAGAGGAGACTGATACAGTTGGATGGTATCCAGGATGTCAGCAATTGGGATCACAGCCTTCTCAAGGTTGAATTTGGAGTCAGAGCTGAATTCTGTTGCATCCCTGCAGAATGTGGAGGGGAAAGTTCTGATTCCCTAAGTTCATAAGCAGCATCTGTGACAGTGCTTCATGTACCTAGCCACTTGACCTTCTGATAATTTCAGTAGGTCTTGAAGTTAGACATTAATTCTGCTTTCCTTAGTGAATGAAAGAAGAGAATGATATAGAAGAAATGTGTCAAGGAGTGTCCCTTGTGGTCTTTTTAGTGACTTCTCTGAGAGTAGACACTTGCTTTTCTTCTCTCCTTAAAGAGAAACTCCTCATCTCCCCTCTCTCTGCCATCATGCATCCTCCTAAAATTTGAGCTGGAAGCCCAGAGGGCTGCTGTTATTCTTGTTAGTTGCCATTGAGCTGCCCTAACCCAGGCACAACAGAACAAAACACAGCCTGGTCCTGCACCGTCACGTCACCATGATGAGTTGCAGTCCAGGTGGTTGTAATCCAGAGGGTCTCCACTGGTTCATTTCCGAAGCACGGCACTAGGCCTTGCTTCCTAGTTCATTTTAGTCTGGAACCTCCACTAAAGCCTGCTCAGCACCATAGCAACATGCAGGTCTCCACTGATAGACGAGTGGTGTGGGCTCCGGAGTTGTGTTGGCCCGGTCTCCACATGGGAGGTGAGAATCCTCCCACTGAACAGCAGAGGGCTGACAGAGTGCTAGCTCCATGGAAGCCAGACCCAGAAAAAGAACAGATAACCACCATCTCCAAATTTTGGTATAGAGAATTCTACCATGGCCAACTCTCACCCAGAAGTCGAGAAGCCACTCCCCTGAGAAGCTGGGACAAACATCCTGACTATGATAGGAGATTATTTTGACACTAGGGTTTTCTGTACCTTTTACTTTGGTAGTTCAAGAGCTAAATTTTATAGAGCATTAAAAAAAGAAATATTTCATTCCCCTGTCATTGTTTATTACCTGAAAGTTAGGAAGCACATCTTTGTCTGTTGTTGCTGTCTAGAGCTGCCACTTGGCAGGCCCATTCTTCAAGAGGTTATCCAGGGAGAAAATGCAGCATATTCTCTGGTGGAATCCGTGGCTGCTTGATTGGCCTTATGATACCCAGGTCTCCAGGAAAGGAGTAGATACATCTTGACGCTTCTAAGTTGTATCCCAGAATGACTGGTTATTCCTAGTAAAAATAAATCCCTGGATAGTACAAATGGTAAACTCACTCAGCTGTGAAAAAAGCTAGAAAGGTTAATGGTTTCATTTTACTAAGAGGCACCATAAAAGAACATCCCAGTGATCAGCTTCTGAAAACCAGCCATTGAAATCCTCTGTGGAGTACAGTTTTTTTCTCACACACTGAGTCACCATGGCTCTGTGGCAACTGTGACTGAAGCAAAAAATTAATAGAAGGGAATTTTCAACATGTTACTCTTCTGGAACACCCCTAGAATCTTTTGTGCCTGCTTTAAAGCACCATCTGATGGTACTGGACAAAGTTGGTGTCAAGCTACTGAGCTCAAATACCTCACCTCAGTTACCATACTTTTATACTGCTCACAGAAGAAGCTGTAATAAGCTCAAAGCAATTATTTTGAAAAGGAGAAGGGAATACTGCTTTTAATAAAGCAATGAGAGTAGACAAGCACCACTAACACAGAGCTGCTGATTAAGAAATCAGAGGGCTCTGGAGGGAATTCTCTGCGGTTCTAAGTTGAGTGAGATGGATCCTGTCAGGTCTGTTGGAGTTTCCCCCATTTTTAAAGACTTCCCTGTTGGATACCTATTAGCTCTATTTTTGACATCAGAAAACTGATCCTCAGAGAGATTAGCACCTGCCTAAAAGTTCTATTGCTGCTAACTGGCCGAATTTGGGCTGAAATATAAGTGCTTAGACTACATAGTGAGTGATAGAACGTGGTCATTAGTAGGACACATGTCCCCTTTGAAGTAGGCAGAGGAAGAGAATTCCAGTTCCAGCAGTGAGAAACAAGGGCCCAGTGGCACTGAGTCACCAGCATGGTCTGGAGTCCCCAGCCTGCAGTGAGGATCTGGTCCCATATTGCACTAGCTCCCTGCCTGTCAAAGACAAGATCAGCATACAAGCTTTGTCAAGTCAACCCAGAGAGCAATGTTAGAGATTACAGAAATACTAGACTCTTAGCTGAAAAATAATAGCATGGATTTAGCTTTTATTTGAACTATTAATATGAAACGTACCCAAGGTGTGCAAACCGCTTTATAAAAGTGCTTTCTGTTTTGAAATAATTTTAAATTCACAAGCAATTGCAAAAATACCACCAAAAAAGTGTTTTGGTGTGATGCATTGTAAACGGTGTTCCCTTTGTTTTTCAGGAGTTTGTTGTTGTTGCCAAATTTTGCTGCTAGTACACACAGGAAAAAACCTTGTTGGTATAGTGAGTAACAAGTCAGGATGTTAACCAAACGATCAGCAGTGTATATCAGCTGCTCTGCATGGAAAACATGGGCAGTCTCCTGAAAAGATTAGAAACCCGATGGAGGGTTGCTGTGAGTCAGAAGTGATTTGGTAGCAGTGGTTTTTAGTGTATAAGTATGGGTGACTTTGTGTGTTGGCTTTGTGTCTTGCAGCCTTGCTAAGCCCACTCACTCAGTCAAGTTTTGTAGAAAGTCTTTGAGTCTTTTCTCCCTAGGAAAGCATGTGACCTGTAAATAGGGACAATTACTTCTTCTCTTCTAGTTTTTAAGCCTTTAATTCCCTTCTCTTGCCTTATTGCTCTGGCTAGAACTTCCTGCATTGTTTGCTTCTGCACTGGTGTCAGAGGATGGTCATCTCTTATTCAGGTTGAGATTTTCACATTCCTGGTTACAGTGTCCAATTGCTCAGGCCAGAATAACAAATCCCTGCACAACTCCCTGAATCATTCCTTTAGTCCCAAGTTGCCTAGCCTGTCCTGCCTCCTTTTCTCATCTTTCACATTTTTCTAAAAGTTAATGTGTACATCTTCTTCAGGACATTTTTGTTGTAATTAGAAGAGTAAGATGGAATCTACTTACTCCACTTTGCGTGGAGCCGGAAGTGCAGACCACTCTTTAAAATTGCCAGCTTGTTTGTCAACTGTCTGAGCTGTGAATGTTCTCACTTTTCAAAACAAGAAATTTACTTAAACTAGGTCATATAAAGAGGAGTATAGTGGCCTATTCTGCAGGCAGTTTCACTACTAACCCAAAGGCCATGCCGCTCTGGCAATTCAAATCCACAGGCTGCTCCTTACAAGAGAGATGAACAGTCTCCTCTCATCCATTTACCATCTCAGAAAACCCACTAAAGGGTCAGCTATGAGTTGGTTCTAGTTTGACTGCAGTGAGGCTATAGCAAATCTCTCAGCTGACATGACCAGAGTTCAGCCATTTGCAGTAGCATATTGTATGTTCCTAGAAGACCTTAAGTTATGAGGAGGAAAGAAAAAGAAGAAGAAAAAAACAAAACCAACCAACTGTGTTCTACAAGCACTTGTGTAAGTGCAGAAGCCAGGAAGAGTGTTAGAGGCTAGATAATTTATTGCACGCATCTTTTTTTCCCTGCAATAATGAAATTTTGTGTCTTAACCATCAAATCTAAACTTTATACTGTAAGGATTTCCAGTTCTCTCCTCTGAAAATAGATTGTTGTATGCTGCCCAGTCTATCTGGTCTGACAGGTCCAACATCTACTAAGGATGATTTTGGGTTTCTGTGTCTCATAATTTATACATTTTAGAAGAAAATGTAAATGGACCCACTCAGTGGGTTTCTGGCTGTGAGTAAGATGTTCTGACCCCCCTTCTCAAATGTGGGCTGGGATAGAGGCTTGATTCTACCCAGAGCCAGGAAAAATGGTGGTTCCCTACCAAAACGGATGAGGGCAGAAAAAGGTCACAAAAACATTATCTTAAAACACATTTGTTACACTGGGTCATTGTCAACATGTCAAAACAATTGCCATTTTATTTTTCTTCTTTTGTCTAATAAGTAACCCAGAACTGCCCATCTGTGTGACATTTTAAACTCTTCTTTCTTTAGAACGCCTGACAGAAAATCTCAGAGTTGGACAGACACCCATAGTTGCTGCTCAGATGTTTCTTTTTTTCAGAGTTTTGCTGCTAAGAATATCTGCTCAACATTTGACTTCTCTGTGGCCAATAATGATCTCTGAACTGGTAAGTACAAACAGTTTGCTTTTGAATGCAAGATTGAAGCTTGTTTTTATTCAGAAACATAGTAATGTACTATTTCACATGTATCAAATTTTATCTGCAAAGTCATTTTGAGGCTCGTTGGAATACAGTTTTTAGATAAGTAATGAGTATTTTCTTTTATAGTGAGATTTGATCCCACCATTGTTAGATATTCCAGCAAATTTGTTCTATTTGTTATGATTTTGTTAGTTTTTAAATAAGGAGCTCTGGTGACCTAGTGTGTAAAGAGATACACTGCCAATGCAAAGACAAGTGGTTTGTATACACCAGCTACTTCATGAGAGAAAGGTGTGCAGTCTACTTACATGCAATTTGTAGCCTCCAAAAACCTTCTGGCAGGTCAGCTATTAGTTGGTTTAGACTTGATAGCAATGAGAAGGAGGAAGAGAGAAACCTTTTTAATAGCAAAGTAATAACATATAGTACAAATTTACTTTTATAGATGTGTACATTTTTTTCTTACCTATTATTGTTAGAAAATGTGCACAGTAAAACTAACACTAATTCACGTTTCTACATCTAGTACAGTAACTTGAATTATATATATTCTTCAAATTGTACCAGCATCCCCTGTTGACATAAACATATATCCTCCTGAGCTTCCTATCTAACCCTTCAAGTTGCTTTCAATAATTTTATCCCTTTTATAAGTTATGTTCGGCATTTCCCCTTTTGATTAAGATTCTATAAAATCTTTAATCCAAATCTTCAGTAATAGTAACTGAACTCCATTTGGTTCTTCTGGTCTGATGGCAGGGAAGGCAGTTGTTCATGAGTACACAGGTACATTTTAAATATTAAGCTAGGTTTACTCTCTCTCAAATAGAAGATTAAAAGCATGATTGTTTTTCTTTCAGATTCAGATATTCACACAGCTTGAAGAGGATCTGAAAGAGGAAGATGAATCACTGAAGTAAGTAGTACAATGCCAATGTGAGCAGGGTTCAAGAATGATGGACATAACTTTATGATACAGTGCTTTCTAGTCCTAAATACTATATTCTTAAAGCACTTATAATGGGGCCAACTATTTGAAAAAAATGTAAAGGAAAGGCCTTCTTATGGACATTGCAGAGGTGAGTGGACTATAGCGGATGAAATTGATAACAAAAGTTCTTTTCTTTGGAAATTTTACAGAAATAGCAACAAAATAAACAGAACAAAAGTTTATATTCCTGATGGAAATGGGTCCTCAAAGGGAGAGATTGCCCCAAGTGAACTCATCTTATATTTATCAGCTTGCAAATTCTTGGACACAGCACTTTCTTTTCCGCCTGATAAAATGCCCTTATTTCAAATGTAAGTCACCGAAAACCGTGTATCCTTGTGTCATGAATGCCTTCACTTTCATTTGTACTTTAATGTACAGTGAGCGCATGAGAAGCTGCAGGAAGGGGTATAATGGCCAGAATGTGAGCTCAGATTACCAAGTCTCAGATTACTTGTAACATCTACGGTTTCGTGTATTTGGCTCACACTAGTGGGGGTGGGCATGGGGTTTTTTGGGGTGTATGTGTTGAGGAGGTGGTTTTTGCTACTGAATGCTTGGGTTCAACCACTGGTGGTAGTCCTTGCTCTGTTTGTGTCATTTTTTTTGCCTGTTGGTTTTTAATCTAATTATCTTTACATGAAGCATACTGTTGTCCCACTTACTCTGTCCCAATGGCTTATATTTCCTGTAGGCTTAACACAGGTGCTCATACAATTAACTTCATGCCTGGTCAACACTCTACTTTTCTTTCCATACCTCTCCAGACCCTCCAGAGAGGCTCATAGAGACATTTGTGGCTAAAAGTGAATTTTGATAGGCATCATTGTGCATAGCAGCATTATTCATGAGAACCAGAATGTAGAAATAGTCCTTCAAGTGAAGAATTGATAACTGTATTTTTTTCAAAGAATACACACATGGCACTTTTCCCCTCACCAGGCTGTTTGACCTCCTCACACATCAATCTCCTATGTGTACTCCATGTGTAATACAAGTGTTATTGTTGTTGTTATGTGCAGTCAAGTCACCTGCAACTCATAGCAATCCTATGTAAAACAGCTCTGAAGCCTGTCCTGTCCTGAGCCAGTCTCATGGCCTCTAACACACCTACCCCGTTACCCCAGTCACTTTGTCAGTCCATCTCATTCAGCGTCTTCCTCTCCTATGCTGTCCCTCCACCCTTGCAAGCATGATGTCCTTCCCCAAGGACTCATCCCTCCTGGCCATGTGCCCAAAGTATGTGAGACAGAGCTTCAAAATCCTAGCCGCCAAAGAGAAGCTCTTTTTCACCTTCTTCAGTATAACCCTATTTATTTTCTTGGTGGTCGATGGTATGTCCAGGACTGTTCTCCAGAACCACAACTTAAAGGCATCAATTCTTCTTCTATCATCCTTAGTCATTGTGTAGCTCTTTGATACATAGCAAGCAACTGCGAAGACCATAGCCTGGATCAGGCGCATCTTAGTCCCCAGACTAAGTAATGACATCATTACTCCTTAGTACATTGAAGAGAACCCTGACAGAAGACTTCTTCAGTGCAATGTGTCTTTTGATTTCCTGACTACTGGTACCAAAAGTGTTGATAGTGGAGTCAAACAAGCTGAAATTTTTGACAATCTCAATCTCTCCTCCATCTGTCATGGTTCTGCCAATTGGTCCAGTACTGAGAATCTTTGTTTTCTTGATGTTGAGTTTCAATCCGTGTTGAAGACTGCAGTCCTTGACCTTCTGCAGCAAATGCTTCAGATCCTCCTGTTTCAAAAAGCAAGATTATGTCATCTGCATAACATAGGTTGTTGATGAGTCCTCCTCCAAACCTGATGTCACATTACTCCTCATAAAGCCCAGCCTCCCAGATGATCTGAAAAGGTGTGGAGACAGGATGCATCCCTGACGTACTCCCTTCCTGATTTTAATCATGCAGTGTTTCCTTGCTCTATTCTAAGGACTGCTTCCTGGTCCAAGTCTAGGATTCCCATTCTCCTCAAGATTAGCCACAATTTGTTGTGATTCACACAGTCAAATGCCTTTACATAGTCAATGAAACACAGACATTCCTCTGGTGCTCTTTGCTTTTAGCCAAGATCTATCTGACATTGGCAATAATGTCTCTAAATGTTCCAACCTCTTCTAAACCCAGCTTATATTTCTGGTAGCTCTCTGTCGATGTACTGTTCCAGTCATTTTTGGATAATATTCAGCAGGATTTTGCTTACATGTAATATTGTTTGATAATTTCCACACTCTATCTGATCACTTTTTTTTGGAATAGGAATAAATATGTCTCACTTCCAGTCCATTAGCCAGGTAGTTCTCCAGGTTTCTTGGTACAACCTGGTGAGCACATCCAGGGCAGCGTCTGTTTGTTGAAATATGTCAGCTGGTATTCCATCAATTGCTGGGGCCTTGTTTTTTGCCAGTTCTTTCAGAGCAGCCTGAACTTCCTCTTTCATCACCATTGCCTCTTGATCACATGTTGTTTCATGAAATCCTTCTGTGTCAGCCAATTATTTTTTGGTACGATAACTCTGTATTCTCCTTCCATCTTCTTTTAATGCTTCCTGGATCATGAATGTGTATGTATTATTTATGAGGGCTTGTTATTTATGAAAAATACAGGAAATAAAATGTGCTTTACATGATGGGCTGCTACCTGAAAGGTCAATGGTTCCAATCCACCAGCCACTTCAAGGGAAAAAGCAGTTTCCTCCCTTAAAGATTTACAGCTTTAGAAACCTAGTGGAAGGTTGCCATGAGTCAGTTGACTCAAAAGCAGTGAGTTTGGTATATTCATACAGAGAAATGAAATTCAGCCATAAGAAGGAATACTGATAAGTGATGCCACGTGAATAAACCTTGAAATCATTATGCTAAGTCAAAGAAGCTAGTTGCAAAGGACTCCATATTCTATGATTGCATTTGTATATACTATCTAAAATAAACACTTCTACAGAACTGATGCCCAGGGGTAGGAAGGATAACGGGTTTAGGAAATGATGGCTATGGGAAAGGGGAATTTGTGAGGGATAGTAAAAAATTCTACAATTGATTGTGATGATGCATGCATAACTATGAACACACTATGAGTCATTGAATGACTCAACTGGGGGCGGGGGGGGGTAAAGAAAAAAGTGCAACAATGAATGAATGGAAATCAGAAATCTCTGTAAATGTTCATTAAAATGAATTAAAAAAAATTATAATAAAAAAATTATTTATTAGGACATATAGGCAAAAAAAAAAATTTTTCCCCAAACTACTTTGTTTCTATGATAAGAACAATGTAATTAATTTTACCAATATTACCAAACTATAGTCTACAATATTTAAACTTCAGAATCTGTATTTTGAAGTATATATGTAGAAAGTAAAACCAGTGTCAGTGACAATCTAAAATACTCATTATATGCATAGTAGCTTTTTATAATAATAAACCAGTGTTGGTGAATTAAAAATAAATACTTTTCTCAACTTTGATAATGTTTGTTTTCTGAAAAATCTAGTAACAACTTTTATTCAGATGCATTTCAGCACAACAAACTGATACAAATTGAGACATCATATATAAAATGTAATGCTCCACTGTATTAAATTATATCAGAACAGGCATTATGATTATAATTATAGTCATATTTATTCCAGATACTAAGCCATTTTCTTCCTGTTTTACTGCATAGTATAGCAGAAGTTAAATGTAATGTATATGGCACCATGCAGTTAGATTATATTTTTAATAAAGGCAACTGTTTTCTGAAAAAGGGGGGGGAAAGTCATTGAATGACTCAAATCTGCTGAGTTGGTTCCAACTCATGATGACTCATAAACTGCCCTATTCTTTTTCCCCTTGGAGCAGCTGGTGGGTTAAAACCACCAACCTTTCCATTAGCAGCCCAGCACTCAATACACTATGCCCCCAGGACCTCTTAAAAGTCAAAGAACAGTTCATTCAAGTGGGTTAATTGTATGGTATGTGACTTGTGTCTTAAAGCAGTTAAGAAACTTCTTAATCCCTAAGTTCTCCTTTCTGACCTGGTGTTTTGAATTTTTCCCCCCTCCAGTTACAGGTGGGCATTTGTTCCAGAAGTGGACACGGAGGGTTCTGCCCTCCTGTCAGAGGTGGAGGAGAACCACCAAGAATGCAAACCCCATACTGTTAGGATTTTAGAACTTTTAAAATTAAAATACGGGGTAAGTGTATTCCTTTTTGAAAATTATGTCCATGGTTAGAGGATGGGGACAGAAGAATAACCAAGATGTGAGTCAGGCATTTCATAATCATGACTTTTGTTGTTGAAAATATACACAGCACAACATGCACCAGCTCTTTAGCTATATATCAGTTACACTCAACTAATGTTCCGTTCAAGGACTTTGGACTGAATTTTTCAAATTGTGCAACATTTCTCACCCTCCTTTTCTGAATTATCCTCCCTATGAGCATAAGCTCAGTGCCCCCAAGGCTTCCCATCTAAATTTTCGAGCTGTGATTGTCACTTTGATCTCATATAGAAACAGCACTTGATTTTAATGCTAGGGAATGATTTTCACAGTTTCTCCTATCTGAGTTTGAATCTTGGAGATGGTTATAAATCCCATCTTAATTTCCCATTTCTGAGTCATGCAAACACTGTTTTCTTATCCCAGTTGCTAGAGGGTGAAACTTCTTGAGTAACACAGAATGCAGAAGCATTCTTACCACCTAAGTTCCTCTTTGACTCTTAGTCTAAAAAGAATTGCTGATGAGGAGGAATAAAAGCCTAGAGTAGTGTTGGACTCTGGGTGGAAGCCTGTTGTAAAATGTTACCTGAAAACCTAGAATTTGTGTTTGTTTCTCATGCTCAGTTCTGTTAATGAATTTTCATAAAAAAACAGATATCTCTGTTTGGTTGCATGACCATTACTAAAACTAAATCCACTAGTCCTTTGTTTCACCAAATCTATTTTTTTTTTATACCAAGGACTTTATTATATGCAGCTACCAGTGTATATAAAATAATTACTACCCTTGTGAAATAGAAACTCATGAAAATTCAGAGGTAGATGTTAAGAACTGACAAAAGTAGAATCTGTAGAGTATGGCACATATGTTGTAGGGATAAGCTTTTGTACAAGCTTCTTATTTTAGCTCTCCTTTGAATATTCACTGGTTCTTAAGAGTGGTTTAGGAAACCTTTTAAAGATTCATTTTACTACAAAAATGAACAGACTTTCTGGGGTCTAAAAGGATTTGTACTTGAAGATACTCCAGTCAGCAAGGGGTCATGTTGAGCATTCTGCAGACAGAATTGTTTCAAATCTGCAGCTGCCTGGGAAACCTTCACGCGGTTGAGCCCAGCTTCCAGTCGAAGCTGCTGAACCACTTTCTTCATAGCGACGACACTAGAAGAGCCAGACATGGCGAGAGAGCAAGCGCGGCTGACTCTCCTTTCAGGATCGGTCCCGGTGCGGGTGGATCGGCTGGGGACTCCGCGGGCCAGACCACCAAATCTATTTTTTATGGGCTTTTTTTATTTGCAGGATATTAGCAGCTCTGATGACAACACTGTGAAGAATGAATTTCCTCTTCTGCGCCAACATTCTGTCTCCAGCATTAGGCAACTGATGCCATTCTTCAAGACACTAAATTGTGCTTTTAAAACACAAAGTAAACTTTCTGCTGACCCTTCAGGACCTCTGTCCTTAGAGGATCGTGTCACGGAGGACCCAAGGGTCTTAGAACAGCTGGAAGAAAGTGTTGAACACGATTTTTTGGAGCATATGGAATGCTAACTTTGTAAGACAGGATTTGTTTCATTTATCTATTGATGCTTTGGTGAAAACTAAGCTATACTCTAAAAAAAGAAAGGCGCCAAGATAATGCTTTTAACTGACTCTGTTTCAATTTTGCCGGTGAATTTCAGAATGTTTTCTGTTTGACAACAAAACTTATCTCCGTAAATGCCTTGTAGTATATCTGGATCTGATTATATGTTTCTAAACCAATTTATGTAATGAAAATAAAATTAACATATCAGTGAACTAATAGCACAAAATTTGTGATGCGAAGTAAAGTATGGAGAGAATGGAAAGATTTTTTTTTATATTGATTATGCCTGAGTCATCTCAGTATATATCTCTAACAGTTTAAACTTGCTGGAAGAGTATTTTTAAAAGCATTTCACATGTAGATTCTTTAAAGTATTACTAATTGCATTTTAAAGTTAGAATGTGTTATTTTCTGAAAATACTGGTTCCCTTTATGATAACACTGACCATTGAGCAGAAGTGAGTACTTGAAAATCATGTAGTCTGTTTAACCCTCACTCAGTTAAATCAACAACATTCAAATGACATTTTCATTCTTCCACTGAGTAAGAAGTATGTCTATTTCTATGAATTTCTATGTTCAGCTTTTTGAAGAAATGCCACACTGCCTTCCAGAATGATTGTACCATTTTACAATCTCGCCAACTGTGTATAAGAGTTCCTATCTCGCCACACCCTCTCAAAATTTATTACTTGCTGCCCCATTAAACTTTGCCACTGTTACTGGAGTGAGATGGCATCTCATTGTGGTTTTGATTTGCATCTCTCTTCTTGCCAGTGATTTTGAGCATTTCTTCATGTGTCTGTTGGCCATCCGAATATCTTCCTTTGTGAAAAGTCTATACATGTCTTCTGCCCATTTTGTAATTGTGGTATCAGTCTTTTTCTTGTGGATGCTCTGTAAGATTCTGTAAACTTTTGATATGAGACCTTTATTTGAATGGTATTGTCAATTTTTTTTTTCCCAGCCACTGGGTTTTCTTTTCACTCTGTTGGAAAAAGTTTTTGATGCACACAGGGATTTAATCTTTAGAAGGTCCCATATTGTTTGATAAATTGTTTTCATTGTAAAAAAAACATGTATAAGGATCAAAGGTGTGATAAGGTTTGGGAGCAAAAGGGTGAGGATGGGTAGAGATGAAATCACAAGGTTGCACAATTTGATGGGTGGAGGGAGTGGATAAAGAAAATGAGAAAGATCTGGCAAGGACCAAAAAGACAGGGTAATGGTGGGCATAGTCCAATGGTGATAATTTTTCATTTTATTTCTTTTTTACAATGAGATCGTCTTTTTCACTTGTGGGTTTCTCATTTGGGAATGGGGTACAGACTCTCCAGCTGCTTCATGCTGAACAGGGGCATTGAGATGAAGAGGAAAGGGCGTCCACGTTAGCACTTTACTGGTGGTCTTGAGTTGAAGCTGCATGCCTTCTTGTTCAGTTACAAGATACTATCATTGTGTGAGTGAGTCCAGTGGGAGTGGCTGGCTGAACTTTGAGGTTCCATCCACCTTTGCTACCTTAGCTGGCAGTTATATTTCCCTTTTGTCTCTGGAACCAGGCTCAGGGTTCAGGTTCTGAAACAAGACTCAGGTTACCTATAGGAAATGGAGCAAACCTATAGAGAACAAACTTGTGAGTCACAAAGAAAAGGGCTTTGGTGGTGTTACTTACAGTTGTTCTGGAGGAGAAAATGGAGGAAAGTGGCTAAGATAAAGTTCTTCATACACACCAGATGTCTCCCCCCAGGGCCTGGGTGGCTTTTCTTTGCCAGGAGGCTCTCCCCAGGGGCTGGACAGCTCCCCCCCAGGGGCCAAGTGGCTCTCCCCTGAAGCTCTCTCCCAGAAGCCACATGGCCTTACCCCCACCCCCACGAAAGCTCTTGTGAAGTCTGGACCTTGCACTCTTCTGGAGACCATGCCCAGCGGCAGCATTTCTGGCTCTAGTGGCACCATCATTGCCCCCTTCCTCTCAGCCAAGTGGTCTAATTCTAACTCAAAGTAGGTATTATTACTTTCCCCTTACACAAGTGGAGAAAGGGCTTCCAGACTGGTGAACAGACCTGCTTGAGGTTGAAAAAGTAATAAAGGCAGTAGAAGAAGGACTCAAACCAAGTTTGTTTGAAGGTAGGCTATAAGGCAGCAAGCTTTGCAGGACCCTCGAGTTAGCCATCTTTCATCTTCCTCTTGAAGCAAAAGCTAAAGATTATTTTCAAAATGGCCAGAAGTGTATACTCAGGCCTCACACATGCCTGTTTAAGAATTTTTATATTAGATAACTTTTCGTTGCAATGGCCACAATTTAGAATTTCCTCTAGTCAGATCATGAGGAAATGGGCTGTGATCATTGTATCCATTTGTTGAAGCAGCTCAATCTTTGTTGCAGCAATTCCTGGAGGTTCTCTTTCATCAGTGCCTTCAGCACAGTTTGGACTTCTTCCTTCAAAGCCATCAGTTCTTGATTATATGCTTCATACATTTCTTGTTGATATAGTCTATATTCCATTCATCTTTTTATCATGATGCTTCCTGGGTTATTGAATATTTTGCTTATGAAATCCTTCACTATTACAACTTGATGCTTGCATATTTTTTTCATTCCTTAAGCTTGAGAAATGTTGAACATGTTCCTCCTTTTTAGTTCTAACTCCTGGTCCTTGCATATTTCATTAATACTTTGTGTTCTCATTCTTTCATTTGAAATGTTCTGTTCACTTTCTTAATTCAATTCACTTTAACTATTTTAAGTTAAAGTTTCAGAATGTCTTCTGATACCAATTTTTGTCTTCTTGTCTTTTAATTTCTTTTACTTTTTTCATATATAATGCCTTGAAAACATCCCACAAGTCCTTTAGTCTTTAGTTGTTAGTGTTCAGTATGTTGAATCTACTCTTGAGCTGATCTGCAAATTTGGATAGGATATAGTAAAAAAATGGACTTAGGCTGCCAGAGACTTACTTGAAGTTTCTTCAGCTTTGACTTGAACTTGCTTAGGAACAATTGACTGTCTGTTCTACAGTCATTCATTATTAGCCTCATTTCAACTGATATTTCCCAACTCTGTCTTTTTCCACAGATGTATATTCCGTCTCTGAGGTCCACATGTATACTGATCATTTGTGTTGTTGGAAAAAGGAGTAGTTCTGTGGATAAGTCATTGGTTTGTCAAATTCTGAGTAGTTCTCGTAGGTAAATTATTGGTTTGCTAAATTGTATGATGCAGTCTCCAGCATCATGTCTTTCACAAAGAACACATTTTACAATATACTGTCCTTCTTCCTTTTCCAACTTCTCCATTTCTATCACCAGTTATTATCATTGCATCTTGATTCATTTCTAGTTTCAAACTTTGGTAAAAATGTTCTGTTCCTCCATCTTTGGCATTACTGATTGGTGCCTAAATTTTAATGTCAGTGAAACTGGTATTTCTTGAATGCATATAGACAGCAACCTATCTATATAGTGTTGTACTTCAGAAATTGTGAAATGTTTTTGATACATACAAGGCTATTCATCTTCAATTGGTCGTTCCCAGCATAGTGGACTCTATGATTGTCCAAATAATAAAGGCTAATTTTAGTATGTTTCAGTTCACTAATGCCTAGGATATCAATCTTTATTCATTCAGTCTCCTTTATTAACAACTTGCAATTTTTCTAGATTCATACACTGTACGTGCCATATTTTGACAACCCTGTTTGCTAAAACTGAGGAGGACCTGAAGTGCTTGCTATAGAAGGTCAGGGACAGCAGGCTTCAATATGAATTGAAGCTCATCATCAAGAAAACAAAGATTCTCACCACTGGGCCAATTTGCAGCATCATTATGGATGGTGAAGATACTGAAATTGTTAATAGTTTTAGCTTACTTGACTCCACAATCAACACTCTTTGTACCAGCAGCTAGGAAATCAAGAGACCAATTGTATTGGGAAAGTCAGCTGTCAGGGACCTCTCCAGAGTACTGAAGAGCAACGACATCAGTCTAGGGACTTAAGATGCGCCTGATCCAGGCCATAGTCTTTGCAACTGCTTGCTATGCATCAAATAGCTGGACAGTGACTGGAGATAATAGAAAGACGCCTTTGAGCTGTGATACTGGAGAAGACTGTTATACTAGTCTGGAAGCTTTGCTGAAATTTGTCCACCAGTGGTAACCTTCCTGATACTTAAAGTGCTGGTGGCCAACATACAAGCCATCACAGTATGACAGACTGACAGAAAAATAGATTTCTTCAACACACAAAAGTCTCTTGGAACTTTATCTAGGCTTACAACATGTATGGAAAGGAAGTATTTGGAAATCACAGAACCACCTAGTTCTCCACATGTTGTTGTTATTGTTGTTAGATGCTGTGGAGTTGAGTATAATTCATAGAAACCCTATGAACAACAGATCTGTTCTATCCTATGTCATCCTCTCATTTGTGACGTGGTTGGGCCCATTGCTACAGTCATTGTGTCATTCCATCTCCTTGAGAGTCTTCCTTTCTTTCCCTAACTCTCCACCTTTGCAGGCATGATATCCTATTCCAAGGGAAAGCCTCTCCTCGCAACATGCCCAAAATATGTGAGATAAATCTTCACCATCCTTGCCTCTAAGAAGTACTCTCATTGCACTTTTCCCAAGACATATCTGGGGGTTTTGTCATTCCAGGATATAGTTAGTGCACTTCTCCAACACCATAACTCAAAGGCATCAGTTCTTCTGTCATATTTATTCACTGTCCATCTTTCAGATGGGTAGCAAGTATTGAAAAGATTGTAGCCTGAATCAGTTGCACATTAGCCTTTAAATGGATATCATTGTTCCTCGCTACTTTTGAGAGGTCTGTGACAGTGGACTTGCCCATTGCAATACATCTTCTGACTGCTGTTACCAAGAATATTGATTGTGGATCAAGGAAGATTAAGTCATTGATAATCTCAGTCTTTTCTCCATCTATCATAATGTTGCCTATCAGGC